CTGCAATGGCGAGAGGAGAGAGCGGGGGTGTTAGGGGGGGAGGAGATCAGAGGGTGAACATGGCAATTGGAAAGACGGGGGGGGGGTTAGGGGGGAGGAGATCAGAGGGTGAACATGGCAAGTGGAAAGACGGGGGGGGGGGGTTAGGGGGGAGGAGGGGGTGAACATTGGAAAGACGGGGGGGGGGGGGGGAGGAGATCAGAGGGTGAACATGGCAAGTGGAAAGACGGGGGGGGGTTAGGGGGGAGGAGATCAGAGGGTGAACATGGCAAGTGGAAAGACGGGGGGGGGGTTAGGGGGGAGGAGATCAGAGGGTGAAACATGGCAAGTGGAAAGACGGGGGGGGGTTAGGGGGGAGGAGATCAGAGGGTGAACATGGCAAGTGGAAAGACGGGGGGGGGTTAGGGGGAGGAGATCAGAGGGTGAACATGGCAAAGTGGAAAGACGGGGGGGGGGTTAGGGGGGAGGAGATCAGAGGGTGAACATGGCAAGTGGAAAGACGGGGGGGGTTAGGGGGGAGGAGATCAGAGGGTGAACGGGGGGGGGGGTTAGGGGGGAGGAGATCAGAGGGTGACATGGCAAGTGGAAAGACGGGGGGGGTAGGGGGGAGGAGATCAGAGGGTGAACATGGCAAGTGGAAAGACGGGTGGTGGTGGGGGGGGGGGTTAGGGGGAGGAAGATAGGGTAACATGGCAAGTGGAAAGACGGGGGGGGGGGGGTAGGGGGAGGAGATAAGAGGGTGAACATGGCAAGTGGAAAGACGGGGGGGGGGGTTAGGGGAGGAGATAAGAGGGTGAACATGGCAAGTGGAAAGACGGGGGGGCGGGGTGTTAGGGGGGGAGATAAGAGGGCGAACATGGCAAGTGGAAAGACGGGGGGGGTTAGGGGGAGGAGATAAGAGGGCGAACATGGCAAGTGGAAAGACGGGTGGGGGGGGGGTTAGGAGGAGGAAACACAACTCTGCAATGGCAAGAGGAAAGACGGGGGGGGGGGGGTTAGGGGGAGGAGATAAGAGGGTGAAAAAATAGATAATTGTGATGAGTGGTAAGATATGTTGGAGACATTGTAACAGGCCGGGTGAATAGGAGGCAATGATGTATGTGATTGTTTTCATATACTGAGGTACTGGAAGTTTGGAGAATCTTAACCGGAGCCAGATATCACTGCTGATATCTAATGACAGTTTATGCGATCTACTAATTTTACAGTGCTTTTGTTTACTCCTGACCAACTATAACAATGGTATTGATTCGGAAGTGGCATTTATTTTACTAATAAACTTCTAAAAAGGTTTAAAAGCTCCAACTTATCAAAAACTACGATTTCTGGGCAGGTAACATCATAACATGTTCATCGGATGCAACTATTGTTCGCAAAGACCTTTCAGTAAAATTTACTCGACATTTTTATCACCGCTGGTTAATGTTCGGGCCCATTACGGCATATTTCGACGGCTGACTCATGCATTGTGAATCAACCTGAATGCAACAATTTCTGGGGAATTTTAATGCGATGTGCTTATTCATTCAAATTGCCCGCTTTCCAGAGTACATAAACAAAACAAAAATGCCGCGGTCCCGACCTCATAAAAAACGAACTTCAAGAATATCCGCAATTTACGGCCGTTGCGCCAACCCAACTGCCCAAAATGCACATCTTTACCCGACCTCGACTACGCGCGCGGTAATAAGAATAACATAATGATAACATAATAATAACACATAATTAGTAATAACTAATAATAATAATAATAATAATAATAATAATAATAATAATAATAATAATAATAATAATATAATAATAATAATAATAACAACAACAACAACAAATGATAGCACGACAAAAAATCCAACCGGTTATATCTCCAAAGGAACAATCAGTTGCGATGCTCAGCCCAGGCCCGCCGGTGTGAGTATAGACCTTGACCGCGACCTCACCGTGACAAAGCTCTCACGCGGACCGACACGAACCAGCCTACAGCGGGGTCACACTGGGTGATTCATACTTCCCCCCCCCCCCTATCTTCCCTTTCAGTTCGGCTCTTCTCATTTTGCCTTTTCCTCTTCCCCTCTTCTCTTCTCCTTCTTCCTTTCTCTTCTCTCTTCTCGCTTCTCCCCTTCCTCTTCTCATCTCTTTCTCTTCTCATCTCTCTTTCTTCTCATCTCTCTCTCTTCTCACCTCTCTCATCTCTCCACTCTCTCTCCTCTCATCTCTCTCTCATCTCTCCACTCTCCCCTCTCTCTCCTCTCATCTTTTCCCTCCCCTCTCATCTCTTTCTTCTCTTTTTTATATTCTTTCTTCTCCACTCTCTCCCCTCTCATCTCTCCCCTCCCCTCTCATTTCTCCCTTCCCCTCCCCTCTCATCTCTCTTCTCTCTCCTCTTCCCTTCTTCTCTTCTCTCCTCTTCTCCTTGTCCCGCCCTTGAGTCGACATCCCCGTCCCTTTACTCATGAACACCGTCGATTAGTGGGAGGTGACTCATTACCGCAAATATTGATATATCTATTGCGCACAAAAGAGGAATCTGGACGGACGGAGCTTGCATGTATAGTGTTGCAAAAAATGGCAACTTAAAATCTGCAGTTTTTCGTTTATTTACTTTTATTTTTCTTTATTTTTTACTTTTTTATGTTTTCATTTATTTATTTTTTGCCAAGCCTACCTTCCTCAGAATCATTTTACTTGTCTTTATTTATTTGCGAGGACAAGAATAAACGATAAAAAATCTTTATTTCTTCTTGAATCCCCGTGGCAGTTCCATTGTTAACGAATAAAACTGCCGAGGAGTGTCTGCATGACCCCCGCCCGCGCCTGACCCCTGGCCATGAACCGCACAACTGACCCCAAACAGTACAACGCCACGCAGTGTTTCCGACGACCGACAACACGACTCCATGGAATACAAAAACACCGGGATTGATGTGTTATCCTACGTGTTATTTTATAGCACTGCGGCGCGGAATCGGCACAACGCAACGTCAAACAAGCAGATACAAGCCCGGCTAACAATCAGCTGCCATTCTGGAGTCGTTCTTTTCGAAACAAACAAAAAGGGGACCGCTGATCAGGGCAGAAGGCAATTCAAACCACAACCAAATTCCTGAAAAGCAAGGCGTCGCCATATGTTTCCTTTGTCCGAGTGAGCCTTAAATGGCAACTCCCACCTGGCGGCCGGTGGGCGGTGGGCGGTGGGCGGAGGTGCAGAGGGCACAGGGGAGAGGAGGAGTACATGGTGAGTCATGCCCGCAACAGTTACATGCCCAGGGTAATGTGCATTTCCATTTTTGTTCCTAGCTGCGCATACCCTTATCACACATCTTTATTACCCTTCTATTCAATAAAAACGCTTCTTCTTTTACCCATCTGCAAGGCGACGAAAGGACAATGACAATTTGAGGCGATAATTCCTTCCTGGAAGGTCGCAGGTGGCGACAGTGACCTGCAAGGAGGAAGAGGAAGGGAGAGGGGTAGGCTGGGCGGTTGGGGGGGGGGGGGGCTTACCTACAACGGGTCACACCTCACCTCTATGGAGACCCAGGCTAGAAAAACACTAGTAATAATGGTTGATAGCTACTACGTTCTGTGTAAAATACTAGTGACTGTCTCCAACGGGCGTCTCCATCCCGACACCAGACAACCGCCCCCATCAGCATGATGTCCAGAGCTCAGCACACGCCCCCACGCCTCGCCAGAGTCTCTATGGGTCCTGACATCCCTTCATCTCGCACGGAACACTTCACACCATAATGTACACCACACTTTCCACCACTCCTAACCTTACCGCACCGCAAAACCTTATAATCAAACAATATAATACTGCACTTCACCAAACTGCATTCCACCCCATTACACCGCACCAAGTCCACCACACCACACCCCACACCCCTACACGAAGCTCCACCCCGTCACCACACAACGCCACCGTTTCCACAATACATCCCCAACCAATCAGCAACCGCACAGCAGGATCATAGAGCGAGCGAAACAAGGATATCCCTGGAATCGTCGACCGGGATCAGGGGCCTTGTAAACACGCCCAAATCCCGGATGACCTGACTCGAAATAGGTCACGTGCCGCCTCTATTTGCCCTCGGATGCCTTCCGGTATTTATTGACCGCGCAATAAATCAACATGAGAGACAGATTACGACTTCCATCCTACGGTCAGCATAACAATCAAGAATAGGATTTTGGCGGAAAGCGCTGCTGAATATGCAACCAGAACGCGACAGAATAATTGTCGTCAAACTGCCATGGAAATGAAGGCGATATTTCGAGACGATTTCCACGCACGACAAATACCAAACCAAATATTCCGAATCGAAAAAGAAAGTTTTAAAGCAGATTCCACCGCGTCGACTGACCCAATAACGGGTGCAATGAACGGAACAATACGGGGGGAAGTCGGCGTTGCATGCCACTGCTAACCCTTTTTTTCAAGAACGGAAAGTATGCGGAATAACGAATCAGTGTCCAGGTGTGCTTGCAAGCGTTATGAAATCAGCAACGACACTCGAGCATCGCGTGACCAACTCCTTCGGCCGCGGTGTGACGTCACGAGCTTCCCGGCGTGACGAAAAATAAACGCTGCCTCGGAGGCCAATTATCCGCAGCGCCGCCGGTGGCTCGGGTTCGAACGCGCTTTGCGGATCGTGGCGGAGCGACTGGGCCTTTATGCCTTCATCCATTTTCTTGTCCTTGTTATCACATCTCTCTTGTTTCCTTGTTTCTTGTTGTTTCCTCTTGTTCATGATTTCTTTTGTCCTATTTCTCATCCTCCCCCCTCCTTCCTGTTTCGTCTTCTCGTCACTCACTCACTTTAGTTTTTCCCACCTGTCTTTTTCCTCCTTCCTTCTCCTTCTTCCTTCTTCCCCTTAATTCCTTCATTTCTCCTCTCCTTTCCCTTTCCCACTTCCCAATCCCCTCTCCTTTCTTTTCCCTTTCCCCTTATTCCCATCCCTTTCACCCTCCACCTTTCCCCATTCACACCTACCCCCTAC